CAAAATTTTGTCACCAGCGCTCGCATTATCGCGATCTCCGTACGTGCATAGAGATAATTTTTCTGCAATACAAATTCTATATAAAATACTTCACTTTTCATTTTCCAAACACATTCAAATTGTAATCATACACATTACGTCAAATTTATGAATGAAAACGAAAAAACAGATCCGCAACAGAAGTAATACATAAAAAATAATATAATAGAAATATAATAAATTTAATAAATACAAGAAAGAGAAATTTATATGAGTTTTGCAATAATTTTGTGTCACACCGTTTGTACTACAATACTGTAATTTGAAATTTATACTTGCACAATATCGAACACCAAATTAATAATAATAATTTTTTCAAATAATATAAATTAATTTATTGTTAATAATTATGTAGGTAAAGTGAAAGCGTTCATGCTACTGATGATTGTTTTAATTTTATATAAATGAAGCAAAAAAATATTTTCTTTGCATAGCTATCTAGTTTGATGATAAATAATAAAATTGACAACTTTTCTTCATTTAAAAAAAATGCAAATTTCAAAGAAAACTTGCTGCATTGTTAATTGTACAATGCATTTGCACAATGTTATTTTAATTTTTTTAAGGGCGTCAAAAATTGATTAAATTTTAGTATTTTTTTACTTAAACTTTTTTTTTATTCATTCATATTATATACAATCAGAGTTATTTCATAATAATAATAATCACAGGAAGAAATAATAATAATATAATAAATAATAAATAAATAAAAATAGATTAAAAATAAAGAAATTAAATAAAGAAAAAATAAAAAGAAAAAAGTAAAAGAAACTTAAACTTAATTGCAATAACATCACATCACTAAAATTGTTTTTTTTTATATATAAAATAATTATATAAATGGAGCGTTTTATATTTTTTAATAGTTTTTACTCCGCTTTATGGTTTTTCTAGTATTATTTTTATTATTCAAAAATTTTATTTATTTTAGTTATTAATTTTATTATTATTATTATTTGCTTTTTATTTTATATTAAATCATCATACTACGGATATTATTTTAATGAAAATACTATCCTTTATTTTGTACTCTTTTTATTTAAATTTATGTTATTGTTTATTATTGTTACTAGATGTTAAAATAATCATTTAAATAATATTAAAAAATATTTTTATTATTGTGTTAAAGCAAAAGGAGGCTTTCTTGATAATATTTCAGTACTACTATATTGCATATATATTAAATATATATTTACACTAATACAAATTATTTAATATAATTTGGACAAAAATAAATATCGTTCCCAATTAATATTCGTTCTACTTTCAGTACAAAACTTGACTTACAATTTCTGTTCGAATGAATGTATATATTCCGAATATTTCTACATCTAATGAGTCCTTTAATACTTTGTAGCCGTCGGCTTATTAAATGCGATATTTAGACCTTTTCCATTTTGCGAAATCGAATTCCATGGAAATTATTATCTATTTATCTGTCGGATATAATGTAATAGATAATAATACGACAGCTGCCTGCTATGTATGTAATTTCAACGAGTATTTGCTCAATCGGAATTAGGAGGAAAAATTAAATGTTTTAGGAAAATTGTGGTATCCATTCCAGTTTTCTTTTCTTTTTTACTTATACAAAGTATTTGTAAAATAGTTTGTAGTTATATTAGTATTTTCCGTGTGTAAAGTGAATGACTTCTAATAATACATTGCACGTGTGTATTCATTAGCATTTACGTTTCATTCAAGGTGTGGGTGTGAATTTGAATAAAATTTATATATATATTTGTGTATATACATATATATGTATATTTGTATATAATATATGTATATTTGTATATCTACAAACAAATAAGTGAGTTTAAGAATTTATTTCCAAGAGTCATTGAAACGGTTTTTGAATCACTAACTACTAACTAGTTAATACTAGAAATATATATATATAATATATATATATATATATATTATATTTTATGTATATTTGTATGTATATTTGTATGTCTATTTGTAAACAATTTAAATATCTTGAGTATTTTTTAAGTATTTAATTTATTTTCAAATCGTATGACATCAAAATACGTTGACATGTTCGATTTAACATATTTTATATACAAATGAAATTGTATATATATATATTATCTATATATATATATATAGTATGTATGTATGTTGTGTATATATTATAGGTAATAATTTTTGTGTATCGCTTTTCAATTTTTTTAAAAACATTTGGTATTTCTTTAAGTTTTTAAACTTTGTTTTAAAATTAATTTCACAGAATAAAAGCTTGATGATGGCACGTATCGAGTTCCGAACGTTAAGATTAAACATTACAAACAACTGTTTTATATTCTTTATTTTTGGGGATTTATTGTTGGGAAAAGAATAATAATTTAATAATAGTATTAAAATAATGTTTGCATCCAGTTTTTTCATTTTGTCTAATAAATTTTACAGACGTTTCGAACCCCTTTTTTAGTCCTCTCCAATGCATAAACGAACCATTTTTATTTTTTCTCAGATTTTTGTATAAAAAATGTTATTATTTAAGTATCCATCTGGTTATTAGAAGAAAAAATTATACTAGGTTTCAAATTTTGTTTAAAAACAATTATACTGGGTTTCAAAATTTGTTTAATGAATTTTGCACACGTTTTGACACCTTATTTTAGTCATCATCAGTGCATAAGTAATAAACAAAACTCGTTAAATAAAATTATTATTTAAAGAAAAAAAGAAACAAACAACAACATTGAGTTATGAATGCAACAATGCAATGTGATTGTGTTTTTTTTATAAATTGTTATTTTTTATTTTTATTTTTATTTTTTCTCAGATTTTTGTATAAAAAATGTTATTATTCAAGTATCCATCTAATTATTAAAAGAAAAAAATTATACTAGGGGGCGTCCATTAATCACGTGAGGTTTTTAGGGGGGAGGGGGGGTTTGACAAAAATCACGAATATCACATGGGGAAGGGAGGGGTATAGTAAAATATCACGTGTATTTATTTTTTAACTGTTTTTTTTTAAAAGTCAACATTTTTCAAAAAATAAAAATTTTACAATTTTATCAGGTAACTAAAACTACACGTGATGTTTGGTGGGGGGGGGGGGTAAATTTGAATATCACCATGTATCACCAAGGGAGAGGAGGGGGTCCAAAAATGCTTAAAAACTCGCTCACGTGATTAATGGATGCCCCCCTAGGTTTTAAATTTTGTTTAATGAATTTTGCAGACCTTATTTTAGCCATCATTAGTACACATGTAATTAAAAAAATCGTTAAAGATGTTGAGACATCTAAAACAAACAACAATATTTAGTTATATGATATGATTGTTTTTTTTTTATTAATTTGTACTGATGATGGGACAAATGGGGAGTCGAAACGTCTACAAGATTTTATAAAAGACGTTTAAATCTAGATTTTTGTGTTTTTTTAAAATAATTGATTGGATTTCTTATAAAATGATTAAAATTTATAAAATAATCAACAAAAACATAAGATACAAAATTAATAATAAAAATTTACAAATTCACTAAAAAGACACATTAGGTGGATAATATTTTGTTTATACAATTATCTAAACAAAATTTTAAATTTTAAAACAAAAATATGGATATAATAGCTTTATTTTATTTTTAACACTAAAACTTGAATTTATTATTTAAAATACATTGTTTTATTAATTTATTATTAAACTATTAAATAGTTGCTTGTAGATATTTTTAAAAGAACTCTGTTCTACGATTTTATAAAAGTTTCTAAATCTAAATTCTTTTTCTATAAAAGTTTTATATCGATTTAAAGAAAAGTTGGAAAATTGCATTATTTGCTTTTGGCACCGAGCCAAGTTTTGTATCTATTGCGGAAGATTAGTTTTGTGTTTTCTAATGCGATTTTAAAGTATACCGAGTTGATGTAGGGTCTTATGATGTTAGAAAATATTATAAATAATTTAATTTTGCATAAATTTGCCAAATATTTTATTTAAATTAGACAAATAGTTTGAAAGTTGTAATAGATAGATAGAACAAATAAATGCACCTTCAAATTCAGTAGTACGACGTTTCATGTAAGACATCAAAATTGATTTTAAAGTACACCTAGTTGTTGTAGGGTTTTATAATATTTGACAACTTTATGGATTATTTAATTTTGAACAAATTTGTCAAACATTCTATAAATATCAGATGAACCGACTAAAAGATATAAATGGTGGAATAAAAAGTATCCGAAACGATAAGTCTTCGGGTTGCGGGCCTTAGAAAATCACTTTTTATTTTCAATTTTAAAGTATACCGAGTTGCTGCAGGGTCTTATGATGTTAGGAAATATTATAGATAATTCAATTTTGAACAAATTTGCCAAATATTTCATTCATATTAGACAAACGGTTTAAAAGTTACAAGAGATACAATAAATAAATGTTTAAATTAAAATGCCCTACAGCATTTTTTTCCAAAATTAATCGCTAATTTTTTTTTCCAGGAAAGCTTGGTGATAGAAGATTAGATTTGCCAACCTGAGAGTTATATTGAACTACATTAGTTTACAAAATAGTTTTTGTTGTGATATTTATAGTTTACTACCTTTAGAAATACTAGTTTTTCGTTTTGACTTAGTTTTATACTCTTAATATTAAAATTTGTGATAAAAAATTAATAAAACCTACAAAAATGTCTCTGACTTTCGAAGACTCGACTTTCAACCCCGATGATTTGTGGCAGAAATTCGATTTGTTCGAAGATGTCGATAGTATTATCAAAACAGAGTTCTTTGGTGGAGAAGATTGGGATAGTTTGGATGGTGAAGGACTTTTTGATAAGGATATTTTAACAGGAGAACATTATGATGAGGATGTCACAAATGCTGATAAGTTTTTGTTGAGGGATTGTATGTGGTCTGGACGTTGTGTTGATGAATCCATCAGCAAAACACCAGTAGTTAAAAAAGAGCCTGTTGAAACCAAGAAGCCTAATAATGATAGTTTGTTGTTGAATAACATCAAAAAGACTTGCAACGAACAAAGGTTGAATAAACAAAGTTTGAACAAACCTGTACAACCTGGAAGGTCCTTGCTGTTGCGATCGAGGTACAACAATCCTCCACAGCCAGGTAAAAAAATTGGTCAAACTAATTTGTTACCCGTGAACCAAGGTTTTAACTCCTTGAATTTGCTGCAAGTCATCAAGCAAGTCGAAGACAATGTCGACAATTTTGATAAAAAATTCAATATGTTCCCATCACCACCAGACAGCAGCGAGGAGAACGAAAACGATGATGACCAGAACAAAACCAAAAGTATTTTACTAAATCCTGACATCAAAATTAAACAAGAACCTGTCGACACCAAAACCAAGAACGACTTCGATTTGTTCAACAACAAAAAACTATTCTCTTTAAGTGACTCCGAAGAATCTGGTTTAGACTTCGACAACGACATGTTCTCCGACAACGAATGCTTCACTTTTAAATCCTTCAACGGCTTCGACAATACCAAAATCAAATTAGAGATGGACAGCGAAGACGAAGAGTCCTTTAACCTTAAGACTAAAATTAAAAAGGAGCCAGTGTCTCCTAAGAAGACGAATGACTTGACCAGGTTTAGGCAGCAGCAGGAGCAGCAGCAAAGGATTGTAAGGAATAATCCTTGTGAAACTGATCATTGTTACAGTTTATTGAAACATGACGGAGTGAGGGACAAATCTCTGGATAGGAACATGATGGGCATGCTGGGAGTGCAGACACCATCCGACTCTGGTAAGTGGAAGAAAAATTATTTTTTTTAAGCAACTTTTTTGTTCGTGGATTTTTTGGTATTGGTTTTGGATATCTGGGAAGTAGATAAAATTGTCTACATTTTTTGTTTAAAGTAATTTTTTGAAATTTTTGCTAATTGAGATATTATAACACCGAGAACTGTCGCTTGCGCAAGTTGTTAATATAAGGTTGTTAAATATCTCCCTTCCGCCTTTTTGTATTATAAACCAAGAGCAATAAAGCGGAAGGGAGATATTTGACAACGTAATATTAGTATCAAGGGCATTTTTTCCTTTTTTTAAACCAACTTTTTTCCTAGCAGATTTTTTGTAGTTGACCTCAGATATTTCAAAACTAGATACAATTGTTTAAATATTGTTATACTTGAGTTTTCATAATTTTATTCTGGAAAAGAAATATAGGCCCGAAAACTTTCACTTACAGTCAAGTTGCTTTATTTGCACCAAGGGCATTTTTTCATTTTCTTTAAACCAACTTTTTCTTTGGCAAATTTTTTGAAATTGGTCTTAGATATTTAAAAACTAGATACAATTTTTTAAATCTTTTCATATTCATTTTTCCAAGAATTTATTCTGGAAAAGAAATATAAGCCCGAAAACTTACTTACACTTACAATCAAGTTGCTTTATTTGCACCAAGTATATTTTTTAACCAACTTTTTTCTTAGCATATTTTCTGCAATTGGTTTTGGATATTTGAAAAGTAGATAAAATTGTCTAATTTTTTTTGTTTAAAGCAATTTTCCAAATTTTTTGCAAATTAAGATATTATAGCACTGAAACCTTTTCAAGTTGCTATATTAATATCCAGGACAATTTTTCATTTTCTTATACCAACTTTTTCTTTAGCAGATTTTTTGAAATTGGTTTTAGATATTTAAAAAACTAGATGCAATTCTTTAAATCTTGTCATATTCAATTTTTCAAAAATTTATTCCGGAAAAGAAATATAAGCCCGAAAACTTTTACTTACAATCAAGTTGCTTTATTTGCACGAAGTGTATTTTTTCATTTTCTTTAAACCAACTTTTTCTTTAGCAGATTTTTTTAAATTGGTCGCAGGTATTTCAAAACTAAATACAATTAATTTAAATTTTGTCATAGTCAATTTTTCAAAATATCATTTTGGAAAAGAAATATAAGCCCGAAAACTTTCACTTACAATCAAGTTGCTTTATTTGCACCAAGTGTATTTTTTAACCAACTTTTTTCTTAGCATATTTTCTGCAATTGATATTTGAAAAGTAGATAAAATTGTCTAATTTTTTTGTTTAAAGCGATTTTTCAAAATTTTTGCAAATTAAGATATAGCACTGAAAACTTTTGCTTACACAAGTTGCCATATTAGTATCCTGGACAATGTTTCATTATCTTTAAACCAACTTTTTCTTTAGCAGATTTATTGAACTTGGTCTTAGATATTTCAAATACAAATAAATGTATCTAAATCTTGGTATAGTTGATTTTTAGAAATTTTATTTTGGAAAAGAAATATGAGCCAGAGAACTTTCACTCACAGTCCAGGTGCTTTATTAGTATCAAGGACATTTTTTCATTTTTTTTAAACCAACTTTTTTCTTAGCATATTTTCTGCAATTGGTTTTGGATATTTGGAAAGTAGATACAATTATCTAATTTATGGTAGTCAATTTTTCAAAATTTTACTTAGTAAAAAAAATATAACCATGGGAACTTTTATCTACAGTCATTTTGCTTTATTTGCACTAAAAACATTTGTTTACTTTTTTAGTGCAACTTTTTTTTTAGCAATTTTTATGCAATTGGTTTTAAATATATCAAAATTAGATAAAATTATCTAAAATGTGTCATAGTCGATTTTTTGAAATATCATGTTGGAAAAGAATAGTAAGCCTGGGAATTTTTATCTACAGTCAAGTTGCTTTATTTGCACTAAATACATTTTTGAAGCAACTTTTTTGTTCGTAGATAAAATTATCTAAATTTTTTATTTAAAGCAATTTTCCAAAATTTTTGCAAATAAAGATATTATAGCACTGAAAACTTTTGCTTACACAAGTTGGTATATTAGTATCCAGGACAATTCATTTTCTTTAAACCAACTTTTTCTTTAGCAGATTTTTTGAACTTGGTCTTAGATATTTCAAATACAAATAAATGTATCTAAATCTTGGTATAGTTGATTTTTAGAAATTTTATTTTGGAAAAGAAATATGAGCCAGAGAACTTTCACTCACAGTCCAGGTGCTTTATTAGTATCAAGGACATTTTTTCATTTTTTTTAAACCAACTTTTTTCTTAGCATATTTTCTGCAATTGGTTTTGGATATTTGGAAAGTAGATACAATTATCTAATTTATGGTAGTCAATTTTTCAAAATTTTACTTAGGAAAAAAATATAACCATGGGAACTTTTATCTACAGTCATTTTGCTTTATTTGCACTAAAAACATTTGTTTACTTTTTTAGTGCAACTTTTTTTTTAGCAATTTTTATGCAATTGGTTTTAAATATATCAAAATTAGATAAAATTATCTAAAATGTGTCATAGTCGATTTTTTGAAATATCATGTTGGAAAAGAATAGTAAGCCTGGGAATTTTTATCTACAGTCAAGTTGCTTTATTTGCACTAAATACATTTTTGAAGCAACTTTTTTGTTCGTAGATAAAATTATCTAAATTTTTATTTAAAGCAATTTTCCAAAATTTTTGCAAATAAAGATATTATAGCACTGAAAACTTTTGCTTACACAAGTTGGTATATTAGTATCCAGGACAATTCATTTTCTTTAAACCAACTTTTTCTTTAGCAGATTTTTTGAACTTGGTCTTAGATATTTCAAATATAGATAAATGTATCTAAATCTTGTCATAGTTGATTTTTGAAAATTTTAATTAGGAAAATAAATATAAGCCTGGAAACTTTTATCTACAGCCAAGTTGCTTTATTTGTTCCAAGGACATTTTTTCATATTTTTTGAAGCAACTTTCTTAGCAGATTTTTTGCAATTGGTTTTAGATATTTCCAAAATAGACAAAATTATCTAAAACGTGCAGTAGTCGATTTTTCAAAATTTTATTCTGGAAAAGAAATACAAACTCGCAAACTTTATCTACAGTCCAGGTGCTTTATTTGCACCAAGAATTTTTTTTCAAATTTTTTGAAGCAACTTTTTTCTTCGTAGATTTTGCTATTGATTTTAGGTATTTCGGAAATAGATAAAAGTATCTATTTTTTTTATTTAAACCGATTTTTCAATATTTTGAAAAATAAAAAAAATTATAACTCCGAGAATTTCACTTACAGCCAAATTGTTTATTTGCACCAAGGACATTTTTTCAAACTTTTTAAACCAATATTTAAACCAACTTTTTTTTGAGTAGATTCTTAGCAAATGGTTCTAGATATTTCAAAAATAGATAAAATTGTTTAAATATTTTATTAAAAGGGATTTTTAAAAATTTAACTTTGGAAAAGAAATATGAGCTTGAGAACTTTTACTTACAATCCTGGTGCTTTATTAACACCAAAGGCATTTTTCATTATTTTCAATGCAACATTTTTTCAAGTGGATTTTTTGCAATTGGTTTTGGTTATATCAAAACTAGATAAAATTATCTAAATCTTCTCATAGTAGATTTTTCAAAATTTCAATTGTGCAAAGAAATTTGAGTCCAAGAACTCAGTGTATTCTTTATTTTTTCCAGAAGAGGAAGAAATCGACGTAGTATCCTTAGGAGTATCTCACAACCAACCAGATTCTGGTTACTACAATTCCAACATCAGTTCCTTCAACAATGGTAAAGCAAATCTGCCAACATGTCCATCGAAGCAGGACAGAAGACAACTACAACTGGAAGTCACCAGGAAGATCTCCGAGAGCAGCAGCAGAATAAACAATGGTAATAAATGGACAGGATTTAAATGAATCATGAGATGTGATAAATAAATAGATGATTTATGATGTTTTGTTTTGCCTTTGCAGATTTGATTATAAGAAGATCAAATGTCATTCCTGAATCCCAAATCGTGAAACAACCTGGTGGTCTTAAAACACTTGTACCGAGGTCTAGACCGTCTTATAACAATTCCAGCAGGGACGATTCTGATGATGATTGTGAGTAAAATTAATTGTCCCTATTTTATGTAACTATATATTAGGTTGTCAAATATCTCCCTTCCGCTTTTTTGCTATTGGTTTATAATACAAAAAGGCGGAAGGGAGATATTTGACAACCTAATATTGTTTTATTAACTTCCCGAAGGAGAAGTTTATGTTTTCATCAAAAAATCCGATTCGCTAATTTTATGTTTTCTCGACATTTCAAGCCATTCTGAATCGAATGAGACCGAATTTGGAAAAAGTATGTGTGTGTGTGTGTGTGTGCGTGTGTATGTGAACAGATTTTTTGCCGTAAATCGCCGTTTTATCAAAAACGGCTGGACCGATTTCAAAAATTTAAAAGCCATTCGAAGTATCTCGATGAGGACTATTGTTTGTCAGTTTTGTGCGACGATCGGCCAAGCCGTTTCTTTATAAATCGCAGAAAAGTGAAAAAATTTTCGTCTACGTTTTAGCCCGCAATTCTGAATCGATTTTGAAAATTCAAAAACCGTTCGAGAGATATTGGTTGGGAATCGTGCTGATTAGTTTTTGGTAGAGATCGGCCGGGCCGTTTTCTTGTAATAAAGTTAAAAAAAAAAAAAATTCGACGATTTTTATGATTATTTTTTTGACGGTAGATAACATAGTCTTCTAGATCATACTAAAATATTACGGCCCTACGACAATTGGTTTAACTTTGAAAATTCGTCAAAGTTTTCAAAAATTGATATAGTTTTTTTGGCATTTGTCTAAATTAGACCTTTGATCGACATTTTCTCAAAAACGGCTGGACCGATTTCAGAAATTTCAAAGCCATTTGATGTATTTATATGAGGACTATCGTTTGTCAATTTTGTGAGACGATCTGCCAAGCCGTTTCTTTGCAATTTGAAAAAAAAAGTGTTAAACTTTTCGTCCACATTTAAGCTCATCGTACTGAACCGATTTTAAAAAATCTAAAACTGCTCGAAAGATATTAGTTGGGAATGATACTGATTAATTTTAGGTGAAAATCTACCGAGCCGTTTTCTTATAATGAACTGTTGAAAAAAAAAATTAAGCCGATTTTCATGGAACTTTTTTTTTGCGATATATATCATGGTCTTATAGAACTTACTGTAATATTACAGCCTTACGACAAGTAGTTTATTTTTAAAAAAATCACCAAATTTTTAAAAAAATCACCAAATTAAAATTAGACGAATTACTCGGTATAACGACAGAGTACTTGGTCTTAATGAATATAATAAACCATTAAAGTCCTAAGGAAACTGGTTCAATTATAAAAATTATTAATCTTTGAAATTTTGCTTTTAGAAAATACTCCGCGTTAACGTGTTTGTTCGTTTTCAATTAGGTGTAATAAATCTACTCGGAATACTTTTAATGGATCATGAGTTAATTTCTATTTTATTGATTAAGTCGATTATTTACACATATCGGGAAGTTCATGTAACTTGCCTCAAGGCTAAATACCAAACCAACTAGTCTAACTATTATATTTCTTTTCCCCCAGATGAGGTTCCATCATCAAAGACAAAATCGAATCCAAAAACAAATCGAAAGAGGAAAAGGGACAAGAGTGCAAGTTCTGATGATGAATTCGACATGGACTATTCGCAATCTCAGGAGTTCTCAACATCAGCAAACGAGAGCAGTTCTTCGAGTCAACTCAAACCCATGAAGAAACGAGGAAGGAAACGAAGAAGCGATGATGACAACGTCTGGAACAACCATAATGGTAGGATTATATAATAGACGTATAGTTCTACAAAAGTAGTAATAGAATTAATATTTATTTTGTACTTCAACCTAATTAATTTGTATTGAAAATAATATAACATTTTGTATCAGTTTATCAATTTTTTTTTATTGTACATATATTGTTATTTACTGTTTTGGAGATGTTAAGATAATATTTCTTGATAAGGTGTGGAGCGTTCCTCTCGTTCAGCCCACAATGATATGGAGAGGAGGCGAAGAGTTGGCCTCAGAGTTTTGTTCGAGGAACTACGACAGGCAGTTCCACAACTGAGCTCTCGAGAAAAGGCTCCAAAGGTTAATAGAATTTTATATATTCATTAATAATATAATAAGATTTGTTAATGCTTTTGGAATGGTACTAATTCAGTTATTTTTATTGATATGTTAATTAAAAAAAAATTATATATATATATATATATATACGTGGTCTGTTCAAAAAGTACCCGGAATTTTCGTTTTTTCTAATAAAAAAAATATTTATTTATTCGTCTACATTAATGTGGTCCCCTTCAAAGTAGTCCCCCCCAGATATAATACACTTATGCCAGCGTTTTTTCCAATTTTCGAAGCACCCTTGATATTCACTTTTTGATATGTCCTTGAGCACTCTCAGCGATTTTCTTCAATCGAGGAAAACCGCCGTCCTTTCATGGGTCTCTTCAACTTTGGGAATAGGAAAAAAGTCACACGGAGCCATATCTGGTGAATTTTTGCACTTTGCAACACTTTATTTCATTTTTTACGCAAAATTTAATACAAATTCTTTGACTTTTCAATTCTTCCATTGTAAAAATCGCCGAGCTCAGAAAAACACGTCGAACCTTAGCGACTACCACAGACAAAGTAAACAGTGAATATAGCTGAAAATTTCATCATACTTTAGGGGCATGTATACCAACACAATAAAAAAAAAATTTGACAATCAGACACTCCAGACCCGCGAAATTTAATTATTAGTAATTCCGGGTACTTTTTGAACAGACCACGTATATATATAGTGCAAAAGAAGTGAAACTTCTTAATGTGGAGTTAAAAATTTAATATGGTTGAAAATTTTTTTTAGTGAATTTTTATTTCTTTTTCTAACTTTATTAATGTTGTTGCTTGCCATTTATGATTTATAACATTTTTAGGCAATTTACAACATTTTTAGATGATATATAGCATTTTTAGAGGATTTGCAACATTTTTAGACAATTTATAACATTTTTAGACTTGTTCAAATATTTTTTAGATAATTTAAAATATTTTTAGATATTTTAAAACATTTTTAGGTAATTTAAAACAATTTTTAGACCTGTTACAACATTTTTAGACGATTTACAACGTTTTACAATATTTTTAAACAATTTTACAACATCTTCATACAGTTTACAAATTTTTTAAACTATCTATGACATTTTTAAACGATTTCAAATATTTTTAGGGGATTTAAAACATTTCTAGAACTCTCACAACATTTAAATAATTTAAATCATTTTTGGACATGTTATAATATTTTTAAACATTTGAAATCTTTTTAGACCTATTCCAACATTTTTAATGAAATTTAAAACATTATCAGACAATTTACTACATTATTAGACAATTTACAAAATTATTAGACAATTTGCAACATTTTAGAAACAATTGCTACATTGCTAGAAAATTTACAATGTTTCTAGAAAATCTATAACATTTTAAAACAGATTTAGGCGACGACATTTTCAGACAACTTTGCAACATTTTTAAAATGTTTAAAACATTTTTAGATAATTTAAAACATTTTTAGACTAGTAACAATATTTAAAAACAAATTAAAACATTTTAAGACCAGTTACAACATTTTTAAACAATTTGCAACATTTCTAGAAAATTAAAAACATTTTTTGACTTGTTCCAATATTTTTAGATAATTTAAAACATTTTTAGATAATTTAAAACAATTTTTAGACCTGTTACAACATTTTTAAACAATTTATAACATTTTTATTTTTGAATTTATTTTTAGACCTGTTACAGCATGTTTAGACGATTTACAACGTTTTACAATATTTTTAGACGATTTTACAACATCTTCATACAGTTTACAAATTTTTTAAACTATCTATGACATTTTTAAACGATTTCAAATATTTTTAGAGGATTTAAAACATTTCTAGAACTCTCACAACATTTAAATAATTTAAATCATTTTTGGACATGTTATAATATTTTTAAGCATTTAAAATCTTTTTAGACCTATTCCAACATTTTTAATGAAATTTAAAACATTATCAGACAATTTACTACATTATTAGACAATTTACAAAATTATTAGACAATTTGCAACATTTTAGAAACAGTTGCAACATTGCTAGAAAATTTACAACGTTTCTAGAAAATCTAACATTTTAAAACAGATTTAGGCGACGACATTTTCAGACAACTTTGCAACATTTTTAAAATGTTTAAAACACTTTTAGATAATTTAAAACATTTTTAGACTAGTAACAATATTTAAAAACAAATTAAAACATTTTAAGACCAGTTACAACATTTTTAAACAATTTGCAACATTTCTAGAAAATTAAAAACATTTTTTGACTTGTTCCAATATTTTTAGATAATTTAAAACATTTTTAGATAATTTAAAACATTTATAGACAATTTGCAACATCTTTAGGTGATTTAAAACATTTTTATGTGATTTAAGAAGACTCCCATTTTTATAACAGTTCCAACATTGTTGCAAAATTTTCACATTTCTAGAAAATTTGCATTTTAAAACAGTTTTAGGAGACAACATTTTTAGACAAATTTGCAACATTTTTAGACAAATTTGCAACATTTTTAGAAAATTTAAAACATTTTTATGTGATTTAAAACATTTTAAAAAGACTCCCATTTTTATAAAATTTATTCTTATAAGAAATTTACAACATTTTTATACATGTGACAACAATTTTAAGAAATTTAAAACATTATCAGACAAGTTACATTATTTTCAGGAAATTTAAAACATTTTCAGACAATTTGCAACATTTTTAGAAGTTTATTAACATTTTTAGAAAATTCACAACAATTTTTAAGGAATTTACAACATTTTTCGAACATTACTAATTTTTTTTAGAAACTACTAAATTTTGTAGAAAATTTACATTTTTAGAAAACTTACAGAAATTTTACATTTTTCCAACATTTACAAATTTTTGAGAAAATTTTCAATATTTACATTTTTGGAACATTTACAACATTTTTAGAGAAATTTACATTTTTAGAACATTTACAGAAATTTTGCATTTTCTAGGAAATTGAAAGAAATGTTACATTTTAAAAAATTTACATATTTAGAAAAACTATAACAGTTTTAGAAATTTTACATTTTTAGAAACTTTACTAAATCTTTTAGAAAATATACAATAGTTATTAAAAAATGTACATATTTAAAAAAATTACAGAAATTTTGCAGAAATTTTATATTTTTAGTAAAATTCTATATTTATAACATTTACAACAGTTTTTAAGAAAATTTACAACATTTTTAACACATTTACAACATTTTTAGAAAATTTACCGAAGTTTTACATTTTTAGAACATTCATTACATTTTTATAAATTTACAATATTTTTAGAAAACTTGCATATTTCAAAAATGTATACATTTTTTAGAAAACTTACATTTTTAGAAAACTTCCAATATTTTTAGAAAACTTCCAACATTTTTTAGAAAACTTCCAACATTTAAAAAAAATTACATTTATAGAAAACTTACAACATTTATTAGAAAATCCAACACAGTTTCAGACAATTCTCACTTTATCTCTTCCCTAAAATAATAATAAATAATTTCATTAATATAATAATAATGTATATATGTATATGTATGTATATATATATATATATATATATATATATATTATATATATAATATTATTATTATTAATGTATCTATTTCTATCCAGGTGTCAATTTTAAGAGAGGCAGGAGCCCTTTGTCGAGAACTGAGGGCACGAGAGGAGGAGATGAAATTTCAAAAGAGGGAACAAAAAAGACTTTTGGAACGAGTCAGGGAGCTGAGGCGAGAACTTGCAAGTTCGAGAGCATAAACAACGAATCATTATTAATTAAATCAAAAAGGTTTCTGTAGATATATTATCACTCACTGACATACACACATACAATTGCATGTACATTTAATAATCATTACGTTTCACACATACTCACGCATGATTTAGATTGAATGATATTATATAATTCATATTGGACAGAAATATTATTTATGGTAATTATTTTTTTATAAGCTGTACATATTTTTTTTTGGAAAAGCTTGCGTACTAGTTAACGTCTTGGGAATTAAATGACTAATGATTAAATGACCTGGATTTTTTTTGATAAATTGAATAATTTATTTGACGAAAACAAAAATTTATATTTTTGCTATAAGAAAATGACAACTGACAATGACTAAGATAAATTATTATTTGACTCGTTTAAAAATTTCTGCTTAAAAAATATTATGAATGAAAGTAAATAAAATTATTATTTTTTGTAGAATTTTTGTGCGTTGCATTATAATTATTACTTTTATGAAATTATATTAAAACAAATATTTTTGACTACGATTATTTACTACAACTAAATTATTCTATTGATAATTTGAAAAAATAAGTAAAAATAGATAAATTGTTTTATAATGTGATATTTTTATATTTGTTTAAGCATTTTTATGTATCATTTTATAAAAATTCTAATTATACAGACTAGATATAGATTTTAATGCTTAAAACAAATATTTTAGAATAGTTTTCAAAAAGGTTTTGACTATAAAACTATTCTAATATTACACGTGACATTTGAATATTTGTTTAAGAATTTTTAGAATTATTTTGCAACATGCTATAAAAATTCTAATGATTAAAACTGAAAGAATGTTTAATCGAATATTTGCAAAAAAGAAAATTCTATATGAAATATTCTGCAAAAATACTATTATCAAGTTTTACAAATTTTATTTAGATTTATTTGATTAAAAAAAAGAATGTTTGATTTTATTCTGAAAAATTTGTATGAGAAAAAGTGCAAGAAAATTAATTCATGCAAAATTCTTACAAAATTATTGCAAAATTCTAACAAAATTCTAATTTTGCGGCTTTATTATAAATTTTATTTATATTTATTTGGTTAAACAAAGAATATTAATATTTTAATCAAATTAAAAGTTTAGCAAATAAAACTGCAAAAGTGTTTAAACTGTTTAACAAAGAACTTGTTAGGAATCTTTTGTTTCTTAATAAGACTCTTCTATATAAATATTAATGATACGGTTTTATTAAGATTTATTTGGTTAAAAGAAAGAATAAATTTCTAATTTAATCGAACAAATAGTTTGATATTATTAAAAGTGCAAAAATGTTTTGACGAATCATCAAAGAATTTGCTAAATGAATTAAATTATTATTGAACATTTTATAACATTAAACAGTTTTATTCAGAAAAATTTTGGTTAAACTATAATATAAATATTATTTTAACTAGATAAAAAATAAGAATAAAACTGCAAGTATATATATATATATACTCACAAATTTTACAGTTTTATTTAGATTTATTCGGTTAAGAAAAAATATTAATATTTTAACCAGATAAAAAGTTATATGAAAAAAACTGCTAAAGTGTTTAAACATTTTGACAAAATACTCGTTCAAAATCTTTTAAAAAAAAGATTCTATGTGCAAAATTATATATAAATACTCATTTTACAGTTTTATTACAAATTTTATTTGGATTTTTTCAGTAAAGAAAAAAATATTTATATTTTGACCAGATAAAAAGTAATAAGAATAAAATTGATAGAATATCCAAAGATTTCAATGAAGAACTCGATCAAAATCTTTAAAAAAAATAGATTTTGCATGTCTAATTATACAGTTTCATTACAAATTTTATTCAGATTTATTCGGTTAAAAGAAAGAATATTCTAATTTAATTAGATAAAAATATGAAAAAAAACTGCTAAAGTGTTTAAACATTTCCACAAAGAATTTGCCAACGAAATCTTCAAATTAAATTAATATATTGGATTCATTTGCCAAGAAGAAAAGACAATTTCTTTAGGATAATTTTTTTTCTCAACAAAAATGGTAATTCATGCCAAATAAAAATATAAGGTTGTCAAATATCTCCCTTCCGCCTTTTTGTATTAAAAACCAAGAGCAAAAAAGCGGAAGGGAGGTATTTGACAACCTTTTATTTGCCAGTATTTTAATTTTTTTTTTGCAACAGTCAATCTTTTTTAATTGTTAATTCTTTCACTGATTTAATAATCATCGCAGCAGAATTATCATCTTCAAGGGATTTGGTTGGGTTCAATTCACCTCCCAATGAATTTTTGCCACCTGTCGAATCACTATCAGAGTCGGATTCATCCTTTAGTTTTAACTATATGCTTTGCTTCCTCAAATTTACTTTTCCAGACTCTCTATATTTTTAAATCTAATAGCAAATAATTCAGATTGTGGCTTCTCATCAGCAAAATCGGGAAAACATGTCCAATTGAAATCCTTTTTTGAATTACAATGAGAATTCAGCTGTATTTTTGGGGTTATGAAATGGTTTGCACATATCTTTAATGTTTTATAACTACACGTACAGAAATATTTTCACAATGCCTTAGTAATTTATTTATTTATCTCCTTTATCTTTATTTCATTTTGTTGGTCTTCATCATTACCAGCTTCTGCTTTTTTAATTTCTTCTTTTAACCCTGTATCTGGTTAATATAGAATATTCTTTGCTTAACCAAATAAATTTTAATAAAACAGGATTTTTTTATAACGAAGTAAAATAATAATTCTACTTTGTAAAATGCCTTTTGTAATTTAAAAACCAATAATTCATTTAACCTCTTAAATTATTTTTAGTCAGTATTTTCTTTAAACATTTTTGCAGTTATATTCTAATATCTTTTTACTAATTAAAATAGAATATTGTTTCTTTTTTCCAAATTATTCTTGATAAAATTTGCAATAAAACTGTAAAATCAGAATTTTTATAAAAGTATACACATGGATTCTTTAGTGTGAAACGTTCTATCAGTTTTATTCAAATAACTTTTTATCTGGTTGAAATAGAATATTCTTTTTTTTAACTAAATAATTCTTAATAAAATTTGCAATAAAACTGTAAAATCAGAATTTTTATAAAAGTATACACATAGATTCTTTAGTGTGAAACGTTCTATCAGTTTTATTCAAATAACTTTTTATCTGGTTGAAATAGAATATTCTTTTTTTTAACTAAATAATTCTTAATAAAATTTGCAATAAAACTGTAAAATCAGAATTTTTATAAAAGTATACACATAGATTCTTTAGTGTGAAACGTTCTATCAGTTTTATTCAAATAACTTTATCTGGTTGAAATAGAATATTCTTTTTTTTAACTAAATAATTCTTAATAAAATTCGCAATAAAACTGTATAATTAGATTTTTTTTATAATGTTTCACTAATAATTTATTTTAAAAATTTTCTTGGCAAATACTTTTTGTGAAAATGTTTAAAAACATTTTTCAAATTTATTCTAATATTTTTTTATCTGATTAAACTAGAATATTCATTTTTTTTAAACAAAAAAATCTGAATAAAATTTATAATAAAACTGTATAATTAGATTTTAGGTAGAACATTTAAACATTCTTGATAAAAAAAATCAGAACTTGATAAAAATCTTTTTTTCTACTAAATATACATAATTTTATATACATTGTAATTATGCAGTTTTATTGCAAATTTTATCAAGATTTATTATTTAGTTAATAAAAGAATATTAATATTTTAATCAGATTAAGTTATTAGAATAAAACTGCAAAAGAGTTTGAACATTTTAACAAAGAACTTGATAAAAGAAAATATTTTTTTCCACTAAAGAAAAAGATTTTGAATGCAACATTCTAGAAAAATGTGAACTATGCAGTTTTATTACAAATTTTATTAAGATTTTTTTGTTTAAAAAAATGAATATTCTAGTTTAACCAGATAAAAAGTTATGAGAATAAAACTGTAAGAATGTTTAAACAAAAAACGCATTTTAAAAAGTAAAATTATTACTTTGGTTATAAAAAAATTATTGGTTTATTAAAAGAATTCTATTTTAACCGGATACAAAGATATTAGAATAAAAAAAGCTGCAAAAGTATTTAAACATTTAAACAAAAGAACTTGATAAAAGTCTTGTAATAAATTATTAGTGTGACATTCTATTAAAATTCTAAATTATACAGTTTTTTTTGCAAATTTTATCAAAATTTATTTGGAAAAAAGAAAGAATATTCTATTTTGATTAGAAAAAAAATGTTACAATAAAACTGCAAGAATGTTTAAACTTTTTAACAAATAACTTGATAAAAATATTTTTTTCTACTAAATATGCATAATTTTATATACATTGTAATTATGCATTTTTATTGAAAATTTTATCAGGAATCATTTGGTAAAAGGAAAGAATTTTCTATTTTAATCAGATAAAAAGTTATTAGAATAAAATTGATAGAATGTTCCACACTTTTCTGCAAAAATGTTTAAACAAAAAACTGACTAAAAATCGTTTATTCGGCTAAATTAATTATTGGATTTTAAATTATAAAATGCAAAGTAAAATTAATACTTTACTTGGTTTTGAAAAAAATCCTGGTTAATTACAATTTAGGGTTAATTAAATTTATTTGGTTGAGAGAAGAATATTCTATTTTAACCAAATAAAAAGTTATTTAAATAAAACTGAAAAAGTGTTTCAACACTTCCATAAAGAATTTGCCAATGAAATCTTTAAATTAAATTAATAGCACAATATTTTATACAAATTCAAATTATACAATTTTATTGCAAATTTTATTTAGATTTATTTGGTTAAACAAATAATATTAACATTTTAACCAGATAAAAAGATATTAGAATAAAATTGCAAAAGTGTTTAAACGTTTCAACAAATAACTTGATAACAATCTTTTTTTCTACTAAAAAAAGATTCTATATGTATAATTCTATATAAATTGTTATTATGCAATTTATTTGCAAATTTTATTCAAATTTATTTACTTAAGAAAAGAA